GGGCAGCGGAGGAGGCGAGGAGCGCCGGGTACCGGGCCGGGGGAGCCGCGGGCTCTCGGGGAAGAGACGGATGATGAACAAGCTTTACATCGGGAACCTGAGCCCCGCCGTCACCGCCGACGACCTCCGCCAGCTCTTCGGGGACAGGAAGCTGCCCCTGGCGGGACAGGTCCTGCTCAAGTCCGGCTACGCCTTCGTGGACTACCCCGATCAGAACTGGGCCATCCGCGCCATCGAGACCCTCTCGGGTGAGCACTCAGCGCTGCCTCCTCCCCCGCCTCGCCCGCTCCGGCCGGGACGGCGCCTGCAGGGAGGCCGAGCCCGGCGGGCGGCGCCCGGCGGCGGCTCCCGCGCCCGCACGCTTACTTCCACGCACCGGACCCTCAACTCTCGCCGCCGGCCCGCTCCCGGGACGCCCGCACCCCTCCCCCCACAGCCCCGGACTCACCTCTTACCCTCGGGGCCGCAGTCGTGGGCGCCCCCCTGGGCTGCTCTGAGTGTCCCGAGGCTTGCTCGCTCTTTGGGGACACCCCTGCCTCCCCGGTGCCCCGAGTTGCCCTCCGGACCTTCCCCACCCCCACCCCTTGAGAGTCCCCGTCCCCCCCCTTTCACTGACCTTCTTGTCACCCCCTTTGTCAGGGACCCCTTCCCTCAAATCCAGCATCTTCTTCCTCCCCTGGCCGTACCTTCGCTCTTACAGTGCCTCGTGCCCAGGACCTCTCGCCCTCTGGCGTCCCCTGAGCCGCACTCTCCTTTCAAGCCCCCTCCCCACCTCGCCCCACGGTTCCCCACTTTCGGCACACCCTCGGCGCCACTCTGACGATCCCCTCTGAGGGTCCCCTAACCCCAGGTCTCGCACGACGGCACATCTCCCTCGGTCCTCTTCCGAACCTCAGTCCCTTCTCGCTGGTTTCTCAAGCGCTCCTATTTTTCTCTGAATTTTTTGTCCGATTTTATTGAGAAGAACTCGGGGCCGGGGGCTTTCCGCCGCCCGTCCCCCCGCCTCCCGCTTGGCCAGAAGCACCTTTTTACGAGGTGCCCTGTCTCAACTCGGTGGGGGCCCGGGCTGAGAACCGGGAAAGAGGCGACCGGGGGGCCCGCGAGCGCGCTGGAGCCCAGACGGGAGACGGAGAGCGACACACACACACTCGCGCGCGCGCGCACTCCCCAACTCTCCCTCCCGCACACGCAGCGCTCCGAGCTGCGCTGGCCCCCGGGGCCCGAGCCTGTGCCCCCCGAACCCGGGCCAGGCGGGAGCCCCTTCCCCACGGACGCGTGGGGTGGGGGCGGGGCGGCACCGAGGCCAAGGTGACACCCAGAGGCGGGCAGGGACCGGGCTCTGGCTGCGGCGGACCCCGGGGGGCTTCGGCACGTATACCGTGGGGTATCGGGAGGGGAGGGCAGAGCGGGGAGCGCTGCGGAGTTTTCGGGTGGGGGGGTTAGCGGCAGGGGGAGGTGGGGGGCCGGGAGGAGCACGGGGCCGCGCCAGCCCCGCAGCTTGAGTTTCAAATGAGCTCATCCTTTCAAATTGGCGCCGCTCTTTATTAAATTTCTTTTCCCGGTAATGCCACCCACAGCTATACCTGGGGTCGGATCCGGGCTCGCACCGGTTCCACCTCGTCCTCAGGCGCGGGGCGCCCACCTTTCTTTACTCTGGCACCAAGTTCGTCCAGCTCGAGCCGGGCGGGGGACCCCTGGAGGGCGCCCGAAGGCGGGGCCGGAGCGTAGAGTTCTGTACGTGCCCCTCCTAGCCCCCCGCGGGTTTGATCTGAGCAAGGTTCTGAGTGCTTTAATTTCTGTTTTAAAGGTAAAGTGGAATTGCATGGGAAAATCATGGAAGTTGATTACTCAGTCTCTAAAAAGCTAAGGTAAATATACTTTGCTTAGTTTTTTTGTGTTTGTGATTGGGCTTACGTGTAAGTAAAAAACATACACTCAGCTTTTAAAAACGTACTTTTAATATTTGTTTTTAAAAAGACGTTTGTTAGTGGAGATAAATAGTTTAAAAGTTGCATTTTTTACTTTCATTATATAAGGTGTTTACTATACTTAGAAAATATCTGGTGCAAATTGGGGATCGGTTTGGCGAACACTTGCTGTGCTCAGTTCACTAGGACCAACTTGTTTATCAAAAGCTGCCTCCCACCCCCCAGTCCCATCCTACCCCCAGCAGAATGACAGCAAATGCTTGTTAAGACTTCCTGTGAGATGCTGAGAATAAATATTTACTCTTTAAGCTAAATTGCTTAACTAAACTTAGCAATTAACTACTTTTCTTTTTTAGATAGTTTAATGTTGAATAATATTAATAAAAAATAATTTAGTACGGAGTCAGTATTTTGCATAGCATTCTGAATAAGTAGGTTGTTTGGATTGCATGGTAGTTAAAAGCCAGACTTTTTAAAAAAGTCGCTGAGACTACTGGGTATTGCTTGTGAGCATTTTGTTGTTGTTCTTGTTGTTGTTGCTTGTAAGAAGTGTTCGGGGCTAAACAAAGATTATTGTGAAATCTATGGTTATATTTAAGTGCACTGTTGTTAATGAAGGAGTAACAAGTTTTGTGGAGGTTGGATTTCTCCACAGTGATTTGCTAACATGAGAAATATCTGTCTGTGAGGAGAGAATGAGGGAGAACATCTTTAAAGTTTATTGTGGACTTAAATTGGGGCTCTTTATTACTCATTCTAAATTTTTTTTCTTCTGCTGTTTAGTTTATATCCCATTCACATACATTTCTTCACCATTAGTCATTAAGTAGCTGAATTGGGCAGGCTAAGTGAAGTTTTTGATTTACCACCTATATAATTTGTGATAGTCCACAGTATGGTTTCTTGATTTTTGCCAGAATTGAATAGATTTTAAAACGAACTACTCTAATTTTATAAATGCTTAGATGCGTTTGTTGAAGGGATTTTTAAAAATTGTGTGGACATTTTCAGATGTATTTTAATTTAAGCAACAATATCTTTTGTTTACAAATGACTCTGGCATATCAGAAAACTACTTAGAAGCAGAGTAGAACATAAACAAAGAATTATGTGCTGTTTCATGTATAATAAGCGAGTTCTTTTCTCTGTTGGAAAACATGCAGTGTGTAACTAATTGGTTTTCAATATAGTAGTCTAAATTTGTATACTTTAATACTTTTTCACTTGAGAAATCTAAGTTGAAGCTTTCTGATACATTAAGTATTTATTGCAAATTTAATCACTCATCTCACAACACTTGAAAGCTTGGTGAATATTTTGAACAATGTTTGAAAAAACACTAAAATATTTAATGAATTCTGTATAAATGTTTAATTCTGTTGGCTGGATAGCTGTTATGAATCCATTTGGGGATTATAATTAGTAAAAATCAGTAAAATTTTAACTTGGATGAGTTGATGTCTCATTTCATATTGCAATGTACATTATTTAATTTTGCAATATAAATGAAATATTAATATATCTAAAGTTAAAACTTCTTATAAAATATACTATTTCTTAACTGTTTTCTTTAAAAATGCAATTTATTTGCTATTAGCTGGAATGTCACTTCAGTAATTTTGTTCTGTTTATATAAGAGTTCAGAAATAAGTATGCCCCAAGGTTTTAGTATAAATTAAATAAAGAGCAATCTAGGATTTATACAACCCTATTCAGTACATGATTTCTTTGAACATGTGGGCGATATGAAATACCCAGGAGGTAGATTAAAATGTGCTGTGTATGATTCACTACACTGAAGATATTTAACATTCCAAATGTATGCATAAGCTGCTGCTGTAGAAGTTGCATCATTTCTGATTGGATGGTTTTAATCTTTTTTTCCTTTTCTTTATTAGTTTAAAATGTAGAACTTAGCTACTTGCACTGCAGGCTAAGGGAGAGATAGCTAATGACTGGTATTGTGTACTAAGATCAGACTCTTGGGATGAGGCAGCTTGTATGTTCTCATGTACTGGACACCATAACGCTGGTAGCTTACAAAAACCAGGGTGCTGTGACATTTGAAACTGAAGCTTTTATGTTATATTGTGACTGTTTTGGTGTTCTTCTGTTGTATTTCTGTGAAAATTAACAAGTTATAAGTAAATTTGTCAGTGTTAAGTCAATTTTATACATGGTTTTTGTATTAGTTGAAGTGAAAATGTGAAGAAAACAGTTCATCCTCATTACTTGCTTACATAAAAATCATTCAGCAGTTGAGCACTAGTTTTCTTTATGGTGTACTGATTTGATTTCTCAAGAATCAGTTTGATGTCTATAACCCAAATAGATTTTTAAAAGCTAATGATAGTTTGGGAGGAGATGTTTTTATCTTGAGTTATGAAATTATTGGCATGCTGTGTGCTTACCAATTGGATCTTTTGTTAAATATTCTAGCATCATTTTATATGTGCTATTGTAGTAGACAGGCTAGATACCGTTATGTTCTTAGGGTCATCAGTAGTAGAAAACTCATCATGGGTTTCATTCTTATTAAATGTAAATTACTGTAATATGAGCCATGCACAAAGCATTTATGAGTATTTCTTTTACTTTCTAAGTTGGTTTCAGGGTCTGTTGAATAAAAATCCTTGGATCTTTTATTTTTCTATTCATATTTCTTGGTAGTATATATGGTTGAAAGTTTATTATAGAAAAAAACTGGTAAGCTTCAGAATGCTGGTAAAAGTTGTGCGAATTTCCTTGACAGAAATTTCATTTTTGGTGTTGATGAAAGTTTACTTTAAAAATTATGTAATAGATACACACGTATATTGCATGAATCGTTTTAAGCTAAGATATATGCTAACTTGAATGTGTTTTTGTATCCCTAAAGTTGAATGATTCTATGAGAAACAAAACTTTGAAAAATTTAATTTCTGCCTACTTCTAGGAAGTAACTAAGTGGTACTAGATCTTCTTCCACTGAGATGGTGTGAATACTATGAGATAGTGTAGGAAAAAGCTATGAATTTGTCTTTCATGAGTTAAAAATCAGTAATTGTGTTCTCTCCAATGCAAATGAATTTGGTCTCCTATAGGAATGTTAAAGAAAACAGTATCTCAATTGTATTTTGCTTGTATGTACTACATTGTGTATAGTTGAATTAAATACCAAAAAGGGGAAAAAAAAAACCCACCCAACCTCAAGTCCTCCCTGCAACAAAGGCTTTTGCTGCATCAATTTTTAATTTTCTAGAAACAGAAAAGGCTTTATTAGGTTAAAATCATATGGTAGCCTTCTATTTTAAGAACCTGTTGAATTAGAAATTAATACTTGGGTTTAATTACATAGATTTCATGTGTGGATATAATGTATGTTAATATAAAATATATGATATCACTATTAGGTTGCTTTTGATTTGGCTTTGGAGTTGGGCTTTTAGTTTCTCATTTTAAAAAAAGGTTAATTTTTTCGTATGGTTCTTGGTAATACCATAGAGAATTATACATTGTTGTGACTTCTAAGATATGAATATTAGAGTTAAAATAGAAACAATAAAGAGAAAAATTAATTGATAATTTAAATGATGATATAAGTTTAAAATTCTAGTTTATATTTTTCAAAGACAGCTCATTTGATATTTTTGTATTATTAAATATTAAAATCAGGGAAATCTACAAAATCAGGTTTTGTTTTGCTTGATTTTCCAAGTCACCAAATATATATCAATTTTAAATTGTAGTGTAACAATTTATAAAAGTATTTAATGGCTAAAACACTTGCACATTCATTCTAAAAGGTGATTTGGTGATATGTAGCACATTTACCAAATTGTCCTTTGTAATAATAATAATAATCTTTCCTTGTACTTATAGCTGGGTATAAGATGACCAATAAGAGGTAGTCTGAGAGGTTTGTTTTTTTTATTATGTTAACCTGAGATATCACTTTAGTAGAGAGAAAATGAAAGGAGATTAGTAATATTTGTACAAAGCCTTTTATACATAATGATCTGAAGAGTAATACATTTTCTTTAAGGGGAAATGCTTTTAACTTTAAAATATTTCTTTAAAAAGACATTAGAAGATTTAGAACTAGTTGGATATCAAAAGTAGTATTTCACTATTATTTTGAGTAAACAAATATGGCTTTTAGAGGGGGGAGATTGCTCTATATTTTTAAGTATTGGATGGCAGAAATGTACATGATGTTAAATTGTGCATAGTAGGATAGTAAGTTGGGCACATTTATTAGAAGTCCTCAGAGCTATGAAAAACAGATTTCTACAGAAACTATTTATACATAGTTGATACTTTCAAACTTTATAAATATTTGCTGTCTACAGCTGAATCGTTGTTAATGAAACCCTCAAAATGAGCAATTGGTCACAGTTGCTAGAGGATATTATTTGAGCTGTTTCATCTCTCTGATGGGGTGTGTGCTGTGCAAGTGTGTGTCTGTATTTTGGGGAGAGGGACAGTAGTTACAGACAGGTGGTTTCAAGAGTAGAACAGGAGCAGATGTTTAATTGACCAGCAGCTGCTGTGGATATCAGTCCTGAAAAGACTAATGAAAATTGCTAGGTGATTGAAACTTGTGGCAAAGGAATCAAATGCAATGATACTTGCCTTGAGTGATGCATAACTCTTATAGGTGATTAACGTTGTGGTGAAAGCAAAGTCACAGGCACCTGCAAGTGACTTTTTCAGTGAGCATGCTACTGAAAGGATCATCCAGTGCAAAACTACTCTCCATCTTTTTGGCTTGGATGTCCCCTCTCACAACTGATTCTATGAAGGCTTTGATGCCACTTTTTAAGTATTAGAAAATTTAGGATTTGAAATGTGCATTTTCATTTACAAATTCTATACTTTGAAAGGCAGTATAGTATTTTGCCTGGCACAACTACTCTGAATGAATCAGTGTCATTAGGAGAATATTGGCTGTTTAAAAG